TTCCCTGCTACTAGAGTAAGTGCAGTGTAAAGAAATATATGGTCAACTGATGGTTGACATGACCTACTTCTTATAAACACACCCTCACATGTATTTCACAATCTCCAGCCAAGCTACCTCCCTCTCTTACCACAGTACATTCAGCTACCTCCCTCTCTTACCACAGTACATTCAGCTACCTCCCTCTCTTACCACAGTACATTCAGCTACCTCCCTCTCTTACCACAGTACATTCAGCTACATCCCTCTCTTACCACAGTACATTCAGCTACCTCCCTCTCTAACCTCACTATATTCAGCTTCCTCCCTCTCTAGTCTCTAACCACAGTACATTCAGCTACCTCCCTCTCTAACCTCGCTAGATTCAGCTACCTCCCTCTCTAACCTCACTACATTCAGCTACCTCCCTCTCTAACCTCACTACATTCAGCTCCCTCCCTCTCTAACCTCACTACATTCAGTTACCTCCCTCTCTAACCTCACTACATTCAGCTACCTCCCTCTCTAACCTCGCTACATTCAGCTACCTCCCTCTCTTACCACAGTACATTCAGCTACCTCCCTCTCTAACCTCACTACATTCAGCTACCTCCCTCTCTAACCTCACTACATTCAGCTCCCTCCCTCTCTAACCTCACTACATTCAGCTACCTCCCTCTCTAACCTCGCTACATTCAGCTACCTCCCTCTCTAACCTCACTACATTCAGCTACCTCCCTCTCTAACCTCACTACATTCAGCTCCCTCCCTCTCTAACCTCACTACATTCAGCTACCTCCCTCTCTAACCTCGCTACATTCAGCTCCCTCCCTCTCTAACCTCACTACATTCAGCTACCTCCCTCTCTAACCTCACTACATTCAGCTCCCTCCCTCTCTAACCTCACTACATTCAGCTACCTCCCTCTCTAACCTCACTACATTCAGCTACCTCCCTCTCTAACCTCACTACATTCAGCTACCTCCCTCTCTAACCTCACTACATTCAGCTACCTCCCTCTCTAACCTCACTACATTCAGCTACCTCCCTCTCTAACCTCACTAAATTCAGCTACCTCCCTCTCTAACCTCACTACATTCAGCTCCCTCCCTCTCTAACCTCACTACATTCAGCTCCCTCCCTCTCTAACCTCACTATATTCAGCTCCCTCCCTCTCTAACCTCACTACATTCAGCTACCTCCCTCTCTAACCTCACCACATTCAGCTACCTCCCTCTCTAACCATACAGTCATTAGCTTGGTCCAGTCAGAGCCACAACAGTATGTGTCTTTGTATATTCCAGGCTCTATTATGGCTCTATTTTACAGCAGTGTATCATCTGCCCATGTATTACAATATAGCCCGCTTATAATCACCAGAACTCAGGAGCCACTGTTTTGGTGGTGGCTCTTGAGTCGAGCAGTTAATTTAAATCGTAATATATTCTCTTCTGGGGAAGATTTCAAAGAACCCTGGTATAGTAACAATAACTTGGGCTATTCTTTGTGTTTAAGTGGTATCTAACACATATTGTATTAAAATAATTCTTTGGGACAACTATACCGTTGATCAGAGTCACATCTGATGACTTCAGTGAAAGCCTGAAAGGGCTAATGACTTCAGTGAAAGAGCTGGTGACCTAAGGTTATATCCAAAGTTTGTTCGCCAATGGGGTGTGTCTGGGTGTCAAAGATCTTCAAGGTGGGTGCTACTTGTGATGAACTCTAGAAGGATTTTTTTGACTGGTATGGGTAAAATGCTTTATTACTTTTCAAATCAGCGTGAAAAAATAAAAATTGGCCATGGAATAAGAATTTTAGTGCCCAAAATTTGGACCCCCAAGTGGTGTCAAAAACGCGAATTAAATAGGTAATAATTATTTTACTTTTAGTCTTGACACCACTTTAGGGTTAGACGGGTTCATGCTAGTATTTTTAACTCTTAGAAGACCTGATGTTCAAAAGTGTAGCTAACCAAGAGGCCCCCCTGCTTACACCCTTGTCAAGAGGAGTAGTTACTAAATACTAACTACTAGTTAGGGCATTATGAGGCACTTCCACACTACACGTTACACGGAAATATTTAGTGTGCAGAATAATTGGAATGTTTAATATACGTTATAATATACACGGAGAACGTAATTCAATATAGTTCAATGTTTTAAGACGAATGCCAGGAGAATTCCTGACTTTTTATGAATCTATGAAGAAAATGTTTCAGTTACACGTACCAGAGCATTGTTACACAGTTCCGCTTTAACATAACAGCTTAATACGATTAACAGATCGGATGTAGGCCTTAAACGCTGGTACATTGATTCTCACACTAATACTCGCTTAAAAGTCTGAGAAAAACTCACTAAATCACACTTGAGCTGTGATAAGACGAGCAGTTGAATATATTCCTACTCAACTGACTTTACTCTTTGTCAGTAAATAATAAATATACCCATTAAACCGATTACATCCTAGGAATATACAACAAGATACAAGATACGACGAGGAATATAACTTCTCCGAATTGTGACAAATTAAATAAGCATGTCTTTAAAGCAGTCTTAAACATATCCACTGTAATCTGTATAACACATTTTAACTGATGGTGGTAGATTGTTGTAAATTTTAGGTCCAATAACACTGAAAGATCTTTGCCCAGCATGAGATTCTGCATGAGAAACAATCAGTTCAGGTTGGACACTTTATCTTTGTTTTTAAGATCAAATCTGTATTTAAACTATTTCGGGTTTGTAAATCGGGGAGACCGATGAGAGCTAGAGGGGGGGGGGGGGCCGGGGGATGGGATTGGATAAATTTGTTTATCAAAATTTAATTTAATTGTATCAAACAAATTAAACAAATTAAACAAATTAAACAAATTAAACAAATTAAACAAATTAAACAAATTAAACAAATTAAACAAATTAAACAAATTAAACAAATTAAACAAATTAAACAAATTGCATTGAAATGGGCAGTAGACCCACCATTTAGTACCATGTATTAGCTTTCTTTTGGGAGAAAAATGACCAACCACCAACGAAATGTCCAACACTTGGAACCCTCCCCCCCCCCCCCCCCCCCCCCACGGAAACAGTTTAGTGTACCCCCCCCCACCAACGTGATGTCCAACACTTGGTACAGTGATCGACCGAGGCCTCGGCCTCAGCAAATATCCTGCTCTCGTTTCCGTGGGGGGGGGGGGGGGGGTTCGGGAAGTTTAGTGTACCCCCCCCCCCCCCCACCAACGTGATGTCCAACACTTGGTACAGTGATCGACCGAGGCCGAGGCCTCGGTCAAATTCAAAAATTCACCCCTCGGCCTCAGCCTCGGTTGGAAAAGCACTCCTCGGCCTCAGCAAATATCCTGCTCTCGGTCGATCACTGACTTGATACCCGAAACCCCCCCGGCGCCCCCCACCGGAAACAGTTTAGTGTACCCCACTTGGTACCCGAACCCCCCCCCCCCCCCCCCCCAGGAAACAGTTTAGAAGCCTACAAAGTATCCGTTAGAAGGCAGGGTTAAAACTTTGAATGATGTATACTCCAGTACTATAATAGTAGTAGTATAATAATTGTAATGACAGGTTGAAGCTATTTGTTAAACTTTCTGCATTCTGTTATTTTTAGTTACACTCTTACACTCTTAGTTCTTACTATTTTCCAGTGATCCTGTGATTTAACCAGTTGGATATTGCAACAATTAACGCCTTTGTGGTTAAGAGACTGGATTTGCACAGTGCAGGATAATGCCCCTGGATGAAAAGACAATAATACACAATATACACACAATAGCGAAGTACTGAGCGTCACTGTGTGTTCAACAGTGTACACTGAAATTCTTTCAGCAATTGTAAGATTTCCCAAAATGGTACTTCAGAGGTGTGTGTGTGTGTGTTTCTGGACGACACTAGTTACACACAGGAGTTACCTGGACGACACTAGTTACACACAGGAGTTACCTGGACGACACTAGTTACACACAGGAGTTACCTGGACGACACTAGTTACACAAAGGAGTTACCTGGACGACACTAGTTACACACAGGAGTTACCTGGACGACACTAGTTACACACAGGAGTTACCTGGACGACACTAGTTACACAAAGGAGTTACCTGGACGACACTAGTTACACACAGGAGTTACCTGGACGACACTAGTTACACAAAGGAGTTACCTGAACGACACAAGTTACACACAGGAGTTACCACTTACCTGGACGACACTAGTTACACAAAGGAGTTACCTGGACGACACAAGTTACACACAGGAGTTACCACTTACCTGGACGACACTAGTTACACACAGGAGTTACCTGGACGACACTAGTTACACAAAGGAGTTACCTGGACGACACTAGTTACACACAGGAGTTACCTGGACGACACTAGTTACACACAGGAGTTACCTGGACGACACTAGTTACACAAAGGAGTTACCTGGACGACACTAGTTACACACAGGAGTTACCTGGACGACACTAGTTACACACAGGAGTTACCTGGACGACACTAGTTACACACAGGAGTTACCTGGACGACACTAGTTACACAAAGGAGTTACCTGGACGTCACTAGTTCCAGTTTACACACAGTTTTGTCTACTATGCTACCACTGCACATTGTAATACAATGCTATATTCAAAAGCAAGCCTAGTATAAAATAGGAGACTTTTATAATATAATATGGATTACAAGTGTAGTGTATCCCCATTACATCACCTATCCAATGTTGTATAATTTACATAAATAAATGTATTTTAATTGTTCTTATAAACTTAAGGGAAAGGCGTAAATATGCATTAACTGTCAGAACTTAAGCTACTTGAAAATGTGTTTTGAAGTTTTGAAAAGTGTGTTTTGAAAATGTTGTTTTGAAAATTAAAATTTGAGAGAGTTCACGAACACACACAATACACGAACAGGAAAAGAAGTACTATTAGAATAAAGAAATATACTAATTATATTACGAACAGAGAACCAGGTGGTAAAACAAAAAGACACGTTATTTACTACAACTTACGTTATCAGAGGAGGATCTGCCGAATCTGAGTCGGGGCATGAGCAGGGTGAACGGAGCGATCATCAAAAATACAGCTCTGAAAAAGATGAAACTCAAACATGAACAGCAATTAGCCCTTAATCATTGAATCATTGATTGTGATCGTCGTCATCAAAATTTACCTCCAGCTCCCGTAAATCAAGTTTCCGGGAGTTAATTATTAATAAGTATCATCAGCTTACCCAGTCCTTATTAGCTTACCCTTTAAAAGCCTTTAGTTCCATGGGCAAATAATACAGTGAAAAATTTGCGCAAATTCTATTTGCGAAATAAAATTAAAAGGTTGACCTGTTCCATGGGCAAATTATTTGCACGCATAAATCGATACGCGTATTGGTGGTGTCTGGCAGGATCAGGAATGCAGCCACTCGAGTTTTAATTAGGATACACAAACACAAACAGACACTTGGGTGCGAGACAACAAAATGCAATTATAATATCGATTACGACCACAGCGACTATATTATTTGAGTGAGAAAATTGTACTATGTGAGCACGTTCACGAACTTTTTAAAGCTCAAATATGACAGTGAATCGAAAAGAGAGGGTCAAAACATCGTCCGACATATTTTACTTCAGTGAAATATTTGAATGAAAATTTGCCCATGGAACTGAAGGGTTACCCAATTATAAGTCCTTAATTATTAGCTTACCCAACTATGAGTCCTTGATGAACAACAGTAGCAAAGGTCTCTGTCATGATGTGTTTCTGGATGTTCCCATTATCATCGACGCCATATCCCATATCCCAGGCCATATAGAATAGAAGAGCAGAAAAGGCCCATGCTCCTACCACATAGAGTGGAAGCGTCACGATCGGGAAGTACTTAGCGAAAATAAACACTGTTTGAAAGTACAATTTCAACAGCATTATAACCCCTGAAAATAAACCAATGTTAGGAAATCGTTAATTGTGTACGATAAAAAATATATGTATATATAATTAATACAATTGAATTTTATTAAAACCTGTATCTATTTTAAATCGAAGCCATTTTTTGATAAACTGTTATCACCATTACAAGAAAATAAGTATGGGGTGGCCCCCTCTCCGACTACATTTCCATAAATAATTGAACAAATACTTGTGAATTGATTGAAACCTATTAATTACATTATTCTGTTTGCAGGAACACTTACCCAGAGCTATTAGGAGATATGTGAAACATGTTAACACTATCCCGGATACTTCGCTCTGCTTATCGGTTATCAAATCTTTAAACGTAGTGTTTAACTTGTTCAACACTTGAGGTTGAAAACTTGCCATAGCTGTTAAGTATTTAGAAATTACAAGAATTTTATCGTGGTCACGCCACGTATGGTCAATGTTTACTTACATAGCTTAGTACCAGTATCATTGGGCATTGGCAATTGACATTACCATTTAAGTCAATTATTTTAATGGTACAGACAGAGATACAAACAGTGCAGACCTTGCATTCGAGAGTAGAGAGTGGCACACGGGACCGTTACTAAGGATTTAATTTTAAGTGTGCAGCACTTAAACATGCAAATGCAAGGTAAGATACGTTTTCAATACTGAATTTTGCTTGTTGTTTAGAATTATAATTATAATTGAATTTACACAGCAATACAATAAGAATAAAAATAATTTAAAGAAGCTTCAGACATTCAAGTCAATCAAAAACTGTTAGAAGAATACCCTTCTTAGGACATAGCATCAAAACATATAATATAGTATGTAGTAAGTTTTAAGTTTTAAATGAATATGGTACAGTGAGATTTAACGTTAAACTGTGGGCAAGAAGGTAACCATTAAATGAGTACGAAAATTACCGGAGTGTAAAAATAGTCAAAGCTATATGTTAATTTCTTATTTTAATGTCGAAGCGTGTAATAAATGTTTGATTAAAATTTAACCTCCTTGAATCCTACATGATAAAATTCCGTTATGACACGTCGCACACTAAAACATGAGTTATTTTATTATATCGTCGAATATTGTAAAGGAGTCGTTTACTATCTTACTATATATAAAGCAAGACACTATATATCTGTTACCATTTTACTGACACCACGACTTTAACTTTAGCAAGACTTTCTGCGAAAACCGTGAGAGATATACTTTTTGGATGGGTCGAATGCTTTTATGGCCTTTTGTTCAGTATAAATAAATCAAAAATTGGCCAAGGAATAAATAAGGTGGTGTCAAAATCACAAATTAAATACATAAAATTGTCTAATGTCTCTTGACACCATTTTAGAGAAACACGGGTTTCTGCTAATAAACATAGTTGCAACAGTTGCAACCTCATATCATATTCAAACCTGAAAAGTTATATTAGGGAAAACATATTAGGGAAAACATTCAGGAAACATTTTATCATGTGTTACATTGAACCCTACCAACATGAACATCATGGATGTTTAGCCCACTTAAAGGATTAAAGAAACGCTCAATCGATAAAAATATGTTTTCAAATTAAGAATTTGACTTATTTACAGTCATTGTATATAATGCATATCATTAAAACAGTACATGTTATTCCAACCTAAATTAAAATCTCACAAGCAAATCGAAATAAGGTTTATTATATAAAGAACTATTAAGTCATTTTGATCTTTACGCCATAATAAAGTAATTCATTTTTGTTCTCCAAGTAGGACTCAGTCTTTTTTTTGTTCAAGATGAAATTGAAATCACCCCTCAAACAATCTTTCATGAAATTGCACACCTCTGTTTTATGTGACGAAATGTACAGAAAGTCATCGGTTGCTGATAGAAACAGTGAATCTGGACCTACAGAAACATTTTTGAAGATATGACAGAAATAGAAATCACAGAGGAGTTTTGAGATGCTAGCACCCTGTGGAATACCTCTCTTTCTTCGGTAGAATCTTCCGTCATGATAAATTATTGAATTAAGCAAAAAGAACTCTACATTTCTTTTTGCAAATTCTTTAGTGAAAACTTTGTATTTGATCAATGAGATGGTTGATGTTTTGAATGACTTCTCAAGAGCATCTATAATCTCTTTAAATGATAGTCTTCCATTCCGATTACTTGAGATTGCTATGGTTTTTGTATGTGTTCTATGGGTCACATGGCAGTATCTTTGTACCTTCACTATATGATAGAATGGGCTCCAATTTAACCAAGTTAGTACTTCTGTTTGCAACTCCTTCAATGGAATATTGTCATAACAACTTTCAGCATCGCATTTAAAGAAATACAGTTTAGGAAGTGTGCCATTACATCTACACCTGAGTCTCGATTTGAAATTTGCAATTTTTTTCTGCAAGTCCACCTTTCCTCTAATCGGATGAGGAGTTTCTAAATTAGAATCTTTCCAAAGACATTTTAAAATTGCTGCTATTGGTACTAATTTTGCATTGACTGGCAACTTAATTTTAAAGTTGCAAGAAGCAGTCTTATTAAGCAATGATATAAGTCGAAAGCCCCCACAATGAGGTTTTGGCTGTATTACTATAGCATAGATTCCAAAGAGTTGCCCGGATAATTGTAACCAGTCCACATATTCTCTCTCCAGCTCACAGAAATATGAAGAAAGCTGTTTAAAGCCATAACCCTGCAGCTTAATCCAGAGTGGTTTATAGTAAAACATAAGACTCTTATTCATTTTAGCTACATGAAATGTATCCTTCAGCAAAGGAAATAAGATATCAGTGACAAAAATGTACAGAACGTTGCAAATAACTTTGGGCCTATCAGAGAATGCCTGAAGATCAGAATTTACCAAATCAGCAAATGGTAATTTTGCTAGAAACCCTTTATCGAACATGCTACAATTTCTGATCAACTTGATCAGTTCACGAATAAAAATTCTTCTTAACTTGCAAGTTCCAAAAACAGATTTCAAGGGAATCAAAGTTATAACAAGAGTGGACAGAAATTTGCAGATGTCCTTGTTATCTGATGCAGATGCTTGGCCAACCATTTCAAAATCATCTATACTATAGCTCTTATTCATATCCCTAAAACACTGAATTGGAAGTAATGAAGAGGGTTTCACCTTTCTCAGATTTTTTGCAAGATCTTCCAAAACTTGAACCAATATCTTGGTTTCTTCTTCATTGTTTACAAATTCTCGGCTAAACAAAAGAAGTTTCAGTATGTATTCGTTTTGCTTCTCATCTTTCAATCGACCCAGCCTCTCTAAATTACTTCCTATCTTTATTCTGGTATGATTGCTCTGTTTGGAGAGAAGATGAAGACTTGTAATTTCCATCTCACACTTGACCACGTTCATCTTACATATGGTATTAGTCATATGTGACAATTCCACAAGTAAACAAGAAGGCGTTCTGAAGAAGATGTGGAAATCAGACATCAATTGATAAAAGATAACTGGCAATTCATGCAGTAAATTTTTGAAAAATTCTGTTTCTATGAATCCTTGCCAATGCACAGGAAAAAGACCATAAGGGCTTGGATCCCCAAATTGGCTATGGCTAGCTTCATTTTTTCTTTGTAAAAGGATATTTTCACACATTGGATCACTCATTATCCTGTGATTTCTGTGTCTGTAATCGACTAAGAACTCAAAAAGAGTTTGAAACTTTACTTGGTCCTCTATTTGAGACATGTAACCTTTTTCTGAGAGATTATAACATAATATTATTCTTCGAAAATACATTTTTAATAAAATCTCATTAGTAGTTTTATAAGCATTTAATATGTTGAACAAGCACTATAAATTTATTCTCTGAGATGCAATGATAAAAAATCAGACTTATTTTTTTAGTTAGTATATACATTCAAGATAAATGAGCGGGACAAGTCAGTTCAAAGAACTAAGTTAAACAAAAATTTCAATTTCATGCCATTTATTACAGAATAAACAAGTTTACAATAAATCAATTTGATATTTAACATAACATTACATTATAAATAATGCCTCTCTGGGCATCTCAACAAGACATTCACAGAAAATGAACAATTTACGTTTAAGACCATATAATTACAAACTAAAAAAAAACTACAAAATTTTGTTTTACTAAAACTAAATACCTTTGATATTAACCTTCTTCCTCTTAGCTATCATTGGATTCTCTTTCATTTAACTTATATAACTATTCCTATTAGACACAGGCTCATCTATCCTATCAAAGATGTCATATGACAGTTCCCAGTAGTTGCCACGCTTATTAGCCTGATATCCATCAAGCTGAAAGGCATCTAATCCACTTATTGAATCCAGTACCTGACTCACTAGCTTTCACGAGTGGTGGTACAGTGTACACTGTTCCAGTAGCGCATGACCCTTTGGGTAAAGAAGTCAGTCTCATTTGTGGTAAATCTGTGTGGCTTCGACCTAGCAGAGACAGTCCTACCAGCACGACCAAATAAATCAGACCCATAATCCACAAAGCTTTCCTGGATCTTGAACATCTCAATGAGATCCCCACGGACCCTACGTTCAAGCAAGGTCGTGAGCTTCAAGTTATCCAGTCTCTCTCTGTAGGTCATGAGGCCCAATCCATCGATCATACGGGTGAATGATCTTTGAACACCTTCCAATTCAAGGATCAGTGACCAGTTACCATGCCTTGCCATTGAAGCCCATGCCTGCCAACAATACTCTATATAATGAGGCTTTACCAGTGACTTATACAAGCCCAGCATAACGCTTGTTTCCCTCGATATAATATTTCTTGTAAGCCAGGCAATGGTTCCATTAGCTTTAGCAATGCACTTTCTCACGTGATCTCACGAAATTTAAAAGCACTGTTGATGACCACTCCAAGGTCTTTCTTGCTGTCAGCAGACCTCAAAGGCACACCACCGAACAAGTACTGATTCTTAGGATTACCAGAGCCAATTTGCTGGACCATACATTTATCTACGTTAAATTTTAACACCAATTGGATTCCCAAAGTTCTAAAAGTAGCAAATCAGCTGATAAATTTTAAATATTGTTAATTTAATGGAATCCTAATTCAATGTGTAGTATGGCTGTCACTCTTTGAATAGATTAGATATAGGTTGACAAGGCAAGGGAGTGTGCATGCTGTTCGCTATTGCTCACACCAAACGGCCACCTAGTAAAATTTTTGTATGGACACCGGTCTCCATCACAAACTGTTCATGTAAGTTAAATACCTTTTGACTTCTACTTTTTTTACAACAAGAATTAGAAAGAAAAAAGAAAAAAGTCTTTCAAACAATACATACGTACAAATAAATCAAGTGAACGGCTTAGTGGCTCAGTTAAGTTGGTTAATCTGCAAGATCGATTTGGAATGCTTCAGAGAGGGCATTTTTTGATGTAAGGGTATTCCATGCCCC